TAAGGTCACTCAACAAAGCAACCCTAAACAGGTTTCTGATGCAAAGATTTCAAGTCTGTTGGCTGCTTAAAGCAAGAGGTGGGTTAGCTCTGCAGAAAGGTGCCCAGTGGTGATTACTGTAAGACCATATAGTTAATCTGATAAAAAATAACATTGAATATAACAGATTGACAGTCCTGTGAGATATCCATGGAGTATCAAATATTACCCTGCAATTTTAAAATGAGGTGTTATAGTTTAAGTTTCTTACTGTTGACTCTTGCTTTTCATTCCTGCATGTCTTGAGTAGAATTGAGGCTGTAGAAGCAAACAATTTCTGTTCTGGGTCACTGGTTTCAGGTTTCCAATGGAGAACTTATTTTTCATAGTCCAAACTCCTTCCAGAGCCACTGTTAATAATTTATTGAAATAATAGCTTTATATTGGATTACTTCAACTGTTCTAGAATTAATGTAACTTCTAAAAGACAGCCCCTTTGGTCTACACAGGATTTAGAAGGAGTTAAGCAGAACCTCCATAGTTAATGAAGTGACTGACATCTTCAGAGAGCAATTCAGGCTGCTAAAGGTACACAATGCTCTCTACTGTCTGCAGAACAGCTCAGGACTGCCAGGCTGCTAACTGAAGCAGGATGCAGCTCACCCAATCTGTGTAAGAAATAGCAGAAATACCACCAGTGCATCCAGCATGGCTTATTGGTCATACTGGGATAGCAAATGACCTCATAAAAAGATAGCAAAACAACCTGCCCTCCAAAATAAACCAACCAAACTAAAACTAACACCACCAAAACAAACTGGCTATTTTATTTTGTAGAAACATTACAATTTACTAACCATCTCATCTATACAAAACAAGAAAATAGCTAATAATTTAAGTTGTGTAAATCAGTAACCATCCAACATGACAACTGTTGTTCAGAGCCCAGGCCACTTGGGGAGCATCTCTAATTCTCCAGATGAACAAGAACTAAGTACTTGTTGAATAACCCATACACCAACATCTATTTAACCCTTTCATACACACCATTATTATGCTATTCATATAACATATTATGGTATACATACCATTCATACATTGAGCTTGTTATACATCCATATTATATTTCCCTGTTACAATGTTTTGGTAGTGTTTCTGTATTATCTTTAGTATTTTCAGCCTTTGTAACATACATTTCATTGGGGGAATCCCAAGAATGATGAGCACATGTACAGTAGCACCCACTCATACAATCAAACTGAAATATTCTAGACAGTTTTGATCCATTGTCAGAAGAAATATAATTGGGTTCAGCTCAGTAAGATTAGACACATATAAAGGATTTACAAGTAACAGCTGACAAACTGTTCAGGGTCCTAGTGCTGATGTTAGCTCTAATGTAGCTCTAAAAAAAAGTAGATTATTCTCTCTCTCTCTCTCCAGACTATTAGTGATCATCATCAGACTTCACATTCACATTTTAAAAGAGGAGGCAAAACAAATGGTGAGAGCACAGAAAGAGCCAAAACCAAATATGTGTGTTTATACTTCCCCTGGAAGAAAAACATGCATGCTAAAAAAGGCAATATTACACATTCAAGAAAAGCAAGGAGATTAAATAATGCATATCTAAATTATTAATTAGGCTTTTGTTTGTGTTTTTTTTAATACACCAACCACTAGAACAAACTAATGAGGGAAGCTGTGAAATAACCACCTTTACTCAGTGGACTCTACAGAGAGGTACCTTGTGAAATGTAACAGCTTGGCTGGTAACATTACAAACTTCTGAAAATTAATTTCTGCAATTAGATTAATAGATTTTATGGCTGCAGGAGATCAGCAGTGTGATGTAGGTTTTGTCTTGCATGGGTTAAATGGCTTCAGGCTCATTCCTGCACCAAGACTAGCAAATGAGCTTTGACTAGTGCTAACAGTTTAAGTGCAAAATATTTAAAGTGTGTACTAAAAACTGTGAATCTAAGTGATCTTTATTAACCTGTTCCAGCCCTGAGTTCTCTTTTTCTTAAAAATTGCTAATTATTTATACTTTGATCTCATACTATTTTTACCTTTTTTTCTCAGGACTTTTGGTAGTTCAGCTAGACCTGACACCTTTCACCCTCTTAGGCTCCTATTTCTTCATTTGCCTACTGTAATCAGGTCTCTCCACAACCCTGAAGCTACCTAAACAGACTGATTTTCTAATTTTTTTCCCTGTCCTTTATTTACCCTTATCATCCTTACTGCCAGCTTAATCTTTTCAGCACCAACTTCGGTTTTGAGCAGCAGAAGGGGACAAAGCATTCTAATCACTAGAGTGCTTATTTCAAAGCAAAAGGGAGCAAAACCTCCCTACTGCTTGGCATCTGTTTCTATTTTACTAAACTGGTAGATCATACAGAATTATCCACGTTCTCTAGGGTCCTGATTTCAGACTGAAAGAAACAGTTACAAAGACTATATTCAATTCTTCTGTTTCCACGTGTTCCACAGGCTATGACACAAATGTTCTGGGATGATGTTTTAAAAAGAACAAATGTTGCCTCAAACCCATGTTTGATTTGCCCTGGCAAGCACTTTCCATTTGCTGAGGAGGGGGGTTACCTGCAGCTGGGTGCTTAGCTTGGCACCCTTCCTTCCAAAAACAAAGCTCTTCTTCAAGGATTTCTTTCAGTCTCCTAGAAGGCTCCACGTACACGGATTTCTTCCCTGTTAGTAAAACGTATTACAAAAGCAGCAGTTACTTTTAACCCCTGTGCAGTGCACCTGAAGACAAACCATTCCGGAGCAGACGGAGGGGCCCGGCCGGGCCCTGCTGCAGGATGGGACCGCAGGTAAATCCCGGCGGGCTGCCAGGTGCCCCCTCCGCAGCGCCGGGGCTGGCACGGCCACTCCGAGCCCCCGGGGCGACCACCCCAAGGCAGGGCCGAGCC